GATGTGTAAACTATATTTTTATATAATGTTTGCAAGGGTAACAGTAAAGTTAATCAGTACTCTTGATGCCTTCAGAGGTCAATAGTAGGGAAGATGCCTAAACAAGTTGGGTGACATGCAAATCAATCAGATAGACAGATAGATAGAGACAGACAGATAGACAGAGACAGAGACAGACAGACAGACAGACAGACAGATAGAAATAGATAGACAGACAGACAGATAGATAGAAATACGATAGATTGACAGATAGACACAGACAGACAAATAGATATAGACAGAGACAGACAGACAGAGATAGACAGATAGAGACAGACAGACAGACAGATAGAGATAGATAGACAGATAGATAGAAATAAGATAGATTCACAGACACAGACAGACAAATAGATATAGACAGAGACAGACAGACAGAGATAGATAGACAGATAGAGATAGACAGATAGACAGACAGATAGATAGCTATAGATATAGACAGATAGACACAGAGATAGACAGACAGACAGATAGACAGAGAAAGACAGAGATAGACAGATAAACAGATAAAGATAGATAGAGGTAGATAGATACAAATAGACAGACAGGCAGGCAGGCAGACATAGGTGGGTGGATGGGTGTGTGAATGATGGATGCATGGATATGTCAGTAAGTCACTTAAGTCCATAATCAATAGATAGATAGATCAATAGATTGACAGATTGATAGATAGGTCAAGAGATAGACAAATAAATAGGTCAAGAGAGAAAGAGAGAGAGAGAGATTGGTAGGACAGTAAGTCGATAGATCAATAGAGCAAGAGATTGATAGATCAATAGATAGGTCAATAGATCATTACATAAGGAGAGAGAGAGAGAGAGAAATAGGGAGGTAGATAGGTTGACACAGAGAGATAGGTCAGTAGGTTGACAGATCAATAGATTAATAGACAGATCAAGAGATTGACAGATTGATAGATAGGTTGAGAAATAGAGAAATAGGTCAAGAGAGAGAAAGAGAGATAGATTGGTAGGTCAATAAGTTGACAAATCAAGAGACTGACAGATCAAGAGATAGATCAACAGATGAGAGAGAGGGAGATAGAATTAGAGAGGGAGAGAAACAGACACACACAGAGAGAGGGGGGTAGATCAGCAGATTGATAGATCAATAGACGCTTTCTCTTGCCTTCTTGGATGTGATTTAGCTTCCCAATCAAGACCCCAAGCCTGGGATTTTCTCTGAGACTCCCATCCAATCCCAACTGCAGCCTTGCTCTCAAAGCACAGTCAAAACAAGTCAAGATGGCGGCCACAACGGAGCAATGGAAATTCCACCTGTTTTTTTCCATATCATCATGGCCACCGTCTTTACAATGTTCTTGATCATCTCCTGCAAACACCCATAACTAACCAAATCCAACCTTGGGGTTTTCTTTTTTCATTTCATGGAGCTTGATCAAGGTTGTTGAGATGCTTCCATCTGGTTGGCATCCAAGTCGAAGCTCTTTGGGGACCCCAAAATCAATTCCCAATGTCTACTCCACAGGAACCTGTTTGTATTCTATTTATTTGTTGACATGTACATGTCGCTAGTGCTTTTGGGTCAGGAGTCCTCATCCCCCTCCCCCCTACAGACAAAAAAATATCCTTCCTAATTTGACCTACAAAGGCAAAATTTCATGCCCAGCATTTAGGTGAGCCTTACTTGCTTCCTGTTTCTCTCTAAAGTCCTCTCAACAGATTTTTTTTTGGCCTCTGTATCTTGTCTCAACTTGACGAATGTATTTTTTTTAATGTTACACTGAGAGCATATGCATCAAAGACAAATTCCTTGTGTGTCCAATCACACTTGGCCAATAAAAAATCTATTCTATTCTATTCTATTCTATTCTATTCTATTCTATTCTATTCTATTCTATTCCTAATTCTAATTCTAATTCTATTGCTTTTCCATTTCCAATTCTATTCCTATTACTAATTCTAATTCTATTCCTATTACTAATTCTAATTCTATTCCTAATTCTTTTCCTAATTCTAATTCCAATTCTACCCTATCCTATCCTGTCCTATCCTATTCTTAATTCTATTGCTATTCCATTTCCAATTCCAATTCTACTCCTATTCCTAATTTTATTCCTATTCCTAATTCTAATTCTATCCTATCCTATTCTATTGTCTCAATTCAGACCAGTGGGGGGGAAAAAGGGGGGGGGGGGGGGTGAGAGAGAGAGAGAGAGACAAAGAATCAAATGCGCCTTTTTTTAAAAAAAAAACTTTTTTAAAAAGATGGGAGAGCTGCAATTCCCATCCAAGACCCTCAGGAAAAAATATCTCTCCAACGAGCGTTGCGCGTTTGCACCTCGCTCCTCTCTTGTGCGTTCCTTTCTTGCCATTTGTCTGAAGTTGGGATCGGTCAGAGATGGAGAAAAAAAATTAACCAACTCACTGGTTCCCCAAACCCCGGTCACGCACAAGCGCTGGAAGTCGCACCGGTAGAGTTCAGAGAAGTCGCCTGTCATAAACTCGGCTCGACACGGAACAATTCACCCGGCGCCAGCGGACAGATTCCCAGGGACCGGACGGGCGAGGGAGGGGATTTTTTGCTTCCTTCCCAAAGGGCTGAATCCCACCCACCCATCCGCATCGGGAATGGAAAGCGGAGATTTTACCCAAAGCTGGCACACCAGTCGCCCAACAGCTGAGCGGTTTTGCACGTGTAACTGGTGTACCAGCCTTGCGGGTTGCTTACACGTACAAGAGATAGATAGATAGATAGATAGATGATAGATAGATAGATAGATAGATAGATAGATAGATAGATAGATAGATAGATAGATAGATAGATAGATAGATGAAAGAGTGAAAGGAGAGACAGAATAGATAGATCATAAATGATAGATCATAGGGAAGAGATACATAGATTATAAATCATAGAACATAAAAGATATAGAAGAGAGAAGGGAGAGGAGAGAAGGGTAGAAAGTAGGTAGATTAGATAGATAGATAGATAGACAGATGAAAGAGAGGAGAGGAGTGAGAATAGATAGATTATAGATGATAGATATGTGGATGCATAGTTGGAAAATAGATAATAAATCATTAGATGACAGAAGATATAGAAGAGAGAACGTATAGAGGAGAGGAGATAGAAAAGAGGATAGAGATAGATAGATAGATAGATAGATAGATAGATAGATAGATAGATAGA